CTGAACGCAATACTAAGAAAATACACACTGACGACGCCACTCGCGAAGCACAGTGGACCTGGAACTTTCTGGATATCCTTTCCTCTCTCGTTTTTCAAACTCTTTCTTTCTGTGTTTTTTTTTTTTGTTTTTTTTTTTTTCCTTCTCTCTCATTTTTTACCCAAAATACTATAAATGTGAGCGCAAACAGAATGTACCATGACTCCTGATGAAGGCCAGACTCTGGCCGAAACTGTCGAATTAAACACTTCCGTTGTTACCGTTCTCTTGGAGGATCTACTTGACTATATATATATATATATATATATATATATATATATATATATATATATATAGATATATATATATATTATAAATGCCGTAAACGAACAGGAAAAAGGTGTACGCCTCTACAAACCTGTTTATTTATCGACGTTTCATTCGGAGACCGATCTTCATGAATGAAGCTTGGTCTCCGATCAAAACGTCGACAAATAAACATTTTTGTAGAGGGCGTACATTTTCTTCCTATCATTATATATGTATGTACATTTATATATATGTTTGTATATGATGTGTGTGTACCCAAGATGCAATCATTATTTGAACCAGAACAAAGTAGGAAAGTGCACCGATGAGCAAGACAAGCGCTACTCGCAACATAAATTAGTCGCAACTCGCACTGGTTTTGTGCATCAGTGTTCTTTTTTTCTTTGCCCTGTGTACTACGAACAACTAGCCGAAGATTGAATTTTTTTCATAGTCTTTCTAATTGTGGTCTTTTGTCATGTGCAGAGAGGTGCGATCCGGAAACAGAATTCAGTTGTGACGATGGCTGGTGCATTGATGAGAAACTGAAGTGCAACGGCCAGTTCAACTGCAAGTATCGCTACGACGAGGAGTCGTCAATCTGCCACGTCGGTGAGTCACCCCACGCGATGAGAACGCAGTACCTTTGCTTTGTCGTCCCTTGCACTCTCTCGCTTGATTTACCTGTCCTGCAAGCTTATTCCAGTTTTTATACTTGCAACAGACTCGCTGACCGAGCTGAGTACCTACTACGTATACTACGCACCCTTGCATCCCTCTCTTAGCTGTCGTCTACCTTTGCGTGTAGTAAAGTGAATCAAATTTTACAAATGCATAAGCATCAATGCGTTTTTAATAATACCACTCGAGTGCAGATTCTCTTTTCGACTCTCCAGCCCATAGCCATCATGGTTCACGCATCTATGTGTAACCGAACACAGGCGCAGGAGCGCCATATATTTTTCGCACCAGATTGCCGCATAGGCAGTGACTACGGCGACGGGGCCCGTCAGCGTAGTGTAATCGTAACAGTGAGGGGGCCCATCATAATGGCTATGCAACTATAGCGATGGGTCCCGTCATCGTGAAGCAATGACTATATGGTAGTGCGATGGTAAAAATGAGGGGTGCCGCTGCCTTAACTTTGTAGTAGTTTTAGAGAACACCGTCACGTGGTTGAGGTGGGCGTATAGTTGGTTGGCGCGCAGTTGGTGAAGTAGTCATGCTGCAGCTCATCAGTTCAAATCGGTTTTTTTTTACTTTTTTACGTTAATGCGTCAAGACTGAAGTTACTGTTCTTAAGGAGTCGTAATATTGTTTTTATACGAGAAAATCATGTCGCTGTCTGCGGTGTTTGTTAGACAGCCACTTGTCGATATCGTGGCGTAGTGTCGCTGGTGTGCGACATTGGTTTGAATCGTGTTCTTTTTTCTTTATTTTCTTCTTTCAGTATTAGATGAGCTATAGTTACTTTTTAATGATAATCATATTTATTCATCGAGGATAACTATCAACCTTCTTTTAAGCCCAACGGGAAGTGAAGGCATTCCCCTGATGATTTCCGATTGATAATACCCTGGGCTATCAGATTTCGTTGTACGCGTGCGAATTTCATAACTGTATTAGTAGCCACCCTTGGCGGGCTTTCCGTTCCTTTAAATTCATTCCCTTGCACCAACTCATCATTTGTTACGCATAATGTGATGTGCCCAAATCAATGTATTCCATGTATTTTTCGTTTCGCCGTATAAAAGGGGCATATGGGCTGATGCCCAACGTAGTGCAGGTCAACATATAGTGTGTTTTAACCATGAGGACTGTGTAATTGGACAGTATGTTTCAAAGGGTCCCAAAAGCACAATGCATAAATCTGCAATACTTGTGGCTCTAACGTCGGGAGTACTTCACCTGAAGTGACACACACGCACTTCGTGTGATTGAATCGGCTTCTTTAAACAAAGGGATATGCACGTTGCTTTCGTTTCGTGAGTGTGTGCTGTTGCGATGTAAACGTCCATAGACATGCGGGCTATCTAAGGTGTGGTACATAGTCGTACCGTGGTGCGCTCTCTATAGCTTTCATCCCCTCCTGAGACGACGCTTTTCCCACAGGAACGAGGCGTGTATTGTATCGTGTTCTCGGTAATTAAATACGAGCACGCTGAAGGCGTGTGGCTGACCGTTCTTCTGGTTGCTGTAATTTACAAGTGCTGGGCGGTGCGGCTGCGGGCTAGGGTAAACCACCAGCTGTAACCCAGTCGATGAAACTTACACGCACGAATGAACGTGCATGTAGCAGCGTCGATGTATTTTACCCTGAGGGGACGTATCCACAGGGAGTTTGAACGCCGTCACCTTGCGCAGCAGTAAATAAAAAACAATAAGAACTTCTTCAATCACTTCATTAAGGGCACAAACAGCAGCACTATGTCGGGGCCCGTCACTAAAAGCAGCGCTGTGAAGACGGGCCACTTCCCTATTACATCATTACGACTGTGTTGGCTCGATACTGTAGTGTCTGTGCACACGCTTTTAATGATGGTGGTGAAAACTTACTTTATTTGCAGTACTGCGGCGGATTTCGCGAGCGGGGCAGCTTAGACCAGGGCTTCGCGGTGGATGCCACTCAGCGAGCCGGTTCTCTCAGCGAGAATCTGGACTCAGCTGACCGTCCAGGTTCTCGCTGGCCAGCGCCTCCTCTCATCGCTCTACCGTAGGATGCTGCCTTTAAAAGAGGCAACATTGCTCGAAACAATATTGAAAGTGGAAAAAAAACAGAAAATTTTACTGGTCAATGAGATTAAAACCTGAAGTCACACCTCAACAACGTATTTACGCACTGCACCTCGAAAAATCCCCGCGGTAGGGCAATCTAACTACCGGCACAGTGACATATTTTTCCTGCAAAAAAAGCAAAATTACGACTCCTTGAGGGAGTAACGTCAATCCTGACGCATTAACGTGAAAAAAACACCAGCATGTTTGGAAAACGGAAATTTGAACAGTTGATCTTGCAGCGCTACTGCTTCTCCAACTGCGCATCAACCCAGTATACGCTGGCGGTGGCTAAAAAGACTACAAGTGTAGGGCAATTGGCCCCCTCATTTTCACCATTGCACTACACAGTGACGGGCCTCCGCACCATACAGTCATTGCTCTACGGTGACGGGGCTGGTCGCAATCGTTTCATCGCTATTATGGCGGGCCCCCTCACTGTTACGATTATTTATACACTATACGCTGACGGGACTTCTCACTCTAAATATTGTACTAAGCTGACGGGCCCAGTCTCCGCAGTCACTGCCTACAGTGTATATGCATTTCAAAGGGTAAAGAGAACATATGCGGAGCCCCGCCGCGGTCGTTTAGTGGCTAAGGTACTCGGCTGCTGACCCGAAGGTCGCGGGATCGAATCCCGGCTGTGGCGGCTGCATTTCCGATGGAGGCGGAAATGTTGTAGGCCCGTGTGCTTAGATTTGGGCGCACATTAAAGAACCCCAGGTGGTCTGAATTTCCGAAGGCTTCCACTACGGCGTCTCTCATTATTATATGGTGGTTTTGACACGTTAAAGCACACATCAATCAGAACATATGCGGAATACCAACTTTTTTATGATTACCCTTATTAGCATCCACAGTTGCAATCTATTGAGGATCGGTAATTACCTGTGCTACTTGTTTCACGAAAATGGCTTCACTGTATGCGAAAATTTGATATAAACAAATTTTGATGAATTTGTAACATTGTATCTGTGGCTATACTATACTTAAGTGCCTTCGTTACACCTGAAAATTTGTTACGTCCGTATTCGTTATACGGATGTCTGGCTGGACAGTCTGTAAAGTAAATATTTGTTTCCTTGCACAGTTTTGCTAAGACACGAAGAGACAAAAAAATACATAGGGGCCAAGCAGATGTATTCGCTGTTTTTTTTTTTGTGTTCGTATGGGCGGTAAGTAAACTAGTGGAACGCTTTTGAAGAGAGAGAGAAAAACCTTAAGGCGAGGATGTTAACGGTTTTCTACCATGCACTCAAGGAAGAAGATAAAGCCTCGAAATTACATGACCGAATGAAGCGTAAGAGAGACGCGAAGGAGAACTATAAGTCTACGAGTGCTTGTACAGATCGGTTGTAGTCTTGTGAAACTATGCAGTAACGTTTTCGCTGCTTTTCACGCCAGCGGACTTCACCATCACAACTCGAACAGGCGGGGTGACTATCTGTCACTACCACCTTCTAAAGGAAATGCCAGTGAAGAACACCTCACTCTCTAAGATGTTAGTGAAGAGCATCTCACTCTCTAGAAACAGCTTCCAATGCTATAGGTTTCATGTCCGCATCGAAGGTGACGACATCGATTTTGTCCGAATTACAAATGGGCTTCACATACCGATAATAGAAGCATTAAAAATGTTCAATAGCATCTTCGCTGTCAGAAGAGTGTGGCCGATATTGCAATCAGACATGTGCCAACTAGTTCTAGAGATGCCGCAACCGATCCACAACGCAGCCTTTAAACTACTTTTTTGCCGCACGTTCAACTCAGCTGCACTGCAATTCTTTATGTTGCAAGTGCGAGACGGGTGTGGGAATTTCGTCGTTGCATGCAGCGTCATGGCAGCACGCTCTACACTTCCGCAACACTCCTTGCTGATCTGCGCTGTGTCTTCACTATAAATGTCTTTCTTGTGCAATGTACGGAACCACGAAGTTTCAACAGACGGCAATATTCGAGAGTAGTAATCCCTGAACTAAACAGGCAAAGAAATAGCCGGAAAAATAGGGGGCTTAGGCAAAAATAAAGTTTCTGGTTAGCTGCCACCTTGTGACTCAATATTCAAATCAGCGAAAGTTTCAGACTTGGCGATGTTATTTATTTACTTATTTATTTATTTAGATAGGAAATCTTCCAGACAAAAGAGGCTAATTTAAGTGTATTTGCGAATGAGAAGCGGCATACTTTTAGCTAGGCTTCGTTCCGCAAGTTGGTTGTAATGTGAATTCAATAACCGCCGTAGTCTGTACAAGATGATCATGACCAAGCACGTTTGTCTTACGACGTCTCGTCGCAGAGCGTTACATGGTGTTCTTCGCTTTTTTTTTTTCCTATTGCAATTCCACCTCGCCGTGTAAATGAAGGGAAAAAAAGGCAACACAGAGGCGAAGTATAAGCAAGTGTTGCGTTCCTCACTTTTTCGTCGTCGGTACTGGTTCATTTGCTATCCGTGTAACTATCGCCATTTCTGGGTAGAATGAAAGAAAGTCAAAGCACTCGCATCTAGCTAATGACATGTACTTCGACACACGAGAGGTCGATATACCAGACAATCTTTTTTTCTCTCTCTCTTCTTAGTAGAGAGCTCAATACTGCCACACCTGCTGTTCGGTACAAGACGAAGCAGTCCATGATATTGGCACTGCAAATCGTAGTGTGATGTTAGTAATTTAGTGAAATAGCGCTAAATTAATTTCATATTATTCCACTAAGGAGTCGTCTCAACAACGAAGCTGAAACTTGACAGTGATTACATAGTCATATACATTTGGAAGATATACGATGCTCAGGCAAGTCTTTCTGGCTAGTCCATGGAGCATGTGACACCGCTGCGG